CATAGAATTGCCCCCTTGACGGGGGGTTTGCTGCCGCAGACCCGTTGGCAGTCTCGACAGCTTTCTTCGCTGCGAGGCCCGGCGGGCCGTTGGCTCGTCATGTTGCAAGCATGACAGACCAGTGGTCGTGGTCGTGTGTGCGGAACGGCGGCATGACAAAAAGTCACGCTCACCGCTGCTGCATCTCTTCAACAACGACGCGGTTTTGCCTCCAGTCGTTGGTGGGGGACTGCTGCTGCTTGTTGCTGCCAAAGGCGATGGAAGAAATGCGCCTGCTCAGCCTCTTCTCCTTGGTGGGTGTGACGACAACCGATTCCGCGGGCTCAACCTGGTGGAGGGCGTCGACGCGGTTGCTGGAGTCGGAGGTGGCGGACGAGTTGCCGGTGGAGTTGGGAGTCTGATAGACGTACTCTCCGTCGACGTAGACGGCGTTGGTCTGGAATGTAGAGCGGCGATGACGGCGGCGGGTGTAGCGCTGCTCGAGGCGGAAGAGCTCAATCTTCTGCTGGATGGACGCCTGGAGGCGGTCAATGAGAGATGGCGACATGTTGGCGGGAATGTGTCTTGGAGGATGTGAGAGGCGAAAAGGTTGGCGTTGCGAGGACGACGGGATAAAATGTCGCGCAGAAGCAAGCTGACTCGTTTGGTGTCGGCTGATGTGTGCTATGCAATGTTTCGCTCCGTCGAAAGGGCGGTCGAGTGGTGTTCCGTTCCTTGGTGTCTATCTGGTGCGCGTCTAATGCTTTTGGGGATAGCGGGCCGTTTTGTTGGCTACGGGAAGCGCGTCGTGCAAACGAGGATCGCTGTCTATTGGGAGATAGAGCTGGAGTGTAAATGCTGAAGCCTAGCTGTAGGGCAGACGATGCGAGTAAGGCTGGTCGCGGGTGAAGCGGCGGCGGTGGTGGATGGATGGTTGAGATGTGCCGAAGGAACGAGAGGATCGAGTCCAAAACGCCGGGTTTTGGGGGCTCTAGAAGGGTTCGATGTGATGCAATGGATGCTCAGGGGGCAGCGACAAAGTATTATCGGTGGTTGGTGGGAAGGAGCGAAGAGGGGTTGGCAGGAGGAAGGGGGGGAAAGAGAGAGGACGTGTGGGTGAGAAACGAAGAAGGCGGCCGAGATGGGATGGGATGGATGGATGGTTGGACGGGGGAAGGAAGCAACGCAACGCAACGCACACACCTCACGCGCAGCAACGACCAGGGGAGGTGTGCACCTGCAGCGGGCAGTGAAAAAGAGCTGATAGTGGCCAATGGCCCGAGAACCCGCCCGTCCAAGCGGCGGGGGGGCGACCTTGGGGCAGGGACAGGTCTGGAGGAATGGGCCTGGAGGACTGGAAGCCGCCGAAGACCTTTCCAAGTTCCCAAGGTTCCCAAGTTCCCTCCCCTGCAATACAGGCGACACCCCTGACACCTCCCCGTCGCCCTTTTCCCCTTTTGTCACCCATGCGACGCTGGATCAGCGCTAGCGCCTCAACTCGGCCCCCACCATCTCGTCGTCCATTCGTTCGCCTGAATGGTGGCAAAGCTGCCCGCGCCGACCGCCTGCCCAGAGTGGTCACATCGCCATGTGTCGGCCGCGTTCTGCTGTTGCCCACGTCCCCACCTTGGAGGGCCCTAGCTCAGGGGTCGTGTTTCCGAGGTGGAAAGGAGGAACAGGTCCAACGGCCCGGCCTGGGCCCCTGGTGCTTGTAACAAAGCAAAGTCCCTCCCGCTTGGGAGAAGCTATTGTCAACGCTCGAGTCAGGCGGTTCCTCGATACGGCCGGCCCCGATGGGAGACGCACTTTTTCTTTGTTGGGTTTGGAGTGATATGTCTTTTTCGATTTCCTGCTCCTCTATTGTCTGTGATCTTCCCGCCCGTTGTGCGACGCGCCTCCCGGAGTTGGGGCCGATCGGCCAGATGAACGGTTTCTTGGTACTTGTACTCATCCAGACGACTCCTCAACACCCTGCATCCTCCATCGTTCCAATCGTTCGAGATGGCGCCAGCAGAGATGCACGTCGAGCTGCAAGGGGGGCACACCTCGACCCACTGCCACCATGTGGTCCACGACGCAAGCGAAATGACTCGCCAAGGGGGCTTGGGGGGCACCCCGTACCCGACCTCCCGTTCAAGAAGCCCTGGCCGGATGGCGTTCAATTCTGTCGTGGTGTCGACATTCGAACCAAGCTTCGTCCCGTGTGGACGTCACTGACAAGGACGGACGACCTCATCCTCGGAAGCCAAACTCGTCAGGGAGATGATGTGACATCTGATCTGAGGAGGCTCAACTCTCTGGGCAGACGACATCACAGGAAAATTCTGGCCGCTGACCAAGGTCCAGCTCAATCCTCCGCGGGGTATTCAATTGATTGGCATAGCTACAACTTTTTCATGGTCTCTTGGGCGTCTCTTGCGCCTGCGTCGCAATGACACCCTCTGCAGCACCCTCCACGACTTCCGTACCGTCCGCATTGAACAAAGTCTCCTGGGCTGCAAGTCAATGTTAGCAAAAGCCGTGCAATGGCGGGCGCCGGGTACTTACCACTCCAGAGCTCGGCGTAAAGTCCGCCCTGGTCCACCAGCTCCCTGTGCGTGCCCACTTCTGCCACACTGCCCTCCTTGAGCACGATAATCAGGTCGGCGTCAAAGATGGTTCGCAGCCTGTGAGCGACAAACACACTGGTGCGCTTCTTCTCCCGCAGGATGCTGTTTATGTTCCCCATGAGAGCCTGCTCCGTGTGCGTGTCGAGCGCGCTCGTGGCCTCGTCGAAGAACAGCAGTGGCGGGTCCTTGAGGAGCAGCCTGCTAACAGCCAGCCGTTGCTTTTCGCCACCCGAGATCATCAGTCCGCGCTCGCCGACCTTGGTCTGGTAGCCGTCGGGGAACCTTGAGATGATATCATGGATGTGCGCGCGCTGTGCTGCGGCGATGACCCTCTCCTTGGGGGCGGAGATGTCGCCGTACTGGATGTTGTGCTCGATGGTGTCGTTGAAGAGGGGCGTGTCCTGCGGCACCACGCCGATGGACTTACGGAGGGACTCGACGGTGACGGCCTTGATGTCCTGGTCGTCGATGAGGATGCGGCCCGTCTGAGCGTCGTAAGACCGGAAGAGGAGGCGGAGAAGCGTTGACTTGCCGCAGCCGCTGGGACCGACGACCGCCACCTTCTTGCCAGCGGGGATTGTCAAGGACAGGTTCTTCAGGATAGGCCTGTCAGGGTGGTATCCAAAGGTGACGTTCTCAAACTTGATCTCGCCACCCTTGGGCAGGGCCAGAGCCTTCGCACCGGGCTCGTCCTTGATGCTGACGTTGACCTTTTGCAGGTTGAAGAGCGTCTCCATGTCAAGCAGCGACTGGCGCAGCTCGCGGTACACGGAGCCCAGGAAGTTGAGCGGCACCGACAGCTGGAACACCAGCTGGTTGACCATGACGAGGTCGCCGACCGTCAGCTTGCCGGAGGCAACGCCGCTGGCGGCCAAGTACATCATGGCCGTCAGGGCGGAGGAGAAGATGATGTTCTGCCCGCTGTTCAGGTACGCCAGCGACGTGGCGACCTTGATGGAGCTCTTCTCGTAGGCCTTCAGGGCGGCGTCGTAGCGCGCGACCTCGAACTTTTCATTGTTGAAGTACTTGACGGCCTCGTAGTTGATGAGCGAGTCAACGGCCACCGTCGACGCCTTATTGTCGGCGGCATTGGCCTGCCTGCGGAACTTTGTCCGCCAGGCCGTTGTCCAGATGGTGAAGGCCGTGTAGGTAACCATGGTGAGGGTGGTGATGGCGGCGAACGATGCGCCGTACTGCCACGTCAAGATACCGCAGACCATTGTGATCTCGAAGGCGATGGGCAGGATATGGAAGACCATACTCGTCAGCAGGAAGCTGATGCCTTTTGTACCGCGGTCAATGGCGCGGGTCAACCCGCCAGTCTGCTTGGACAGATGGAAGCCGAGGTCGAGGCGCAGCAGGTGGTCAAAGACGTTGCAGGCGACATTTCGGATAGCTTTTTGTGCAACGGACGCAAAAACGGCGTTGCGCAGCTCCTGGAAGACAGTGGCTCCGATACGTGTTGCGCCGTAAGCCAAGATCATGCTACCAGCCACGACAGTCACAGTGCCTCCTGCTGCCCCAACGTCGACGTTCATGGCGTCAACGATGCTCTTGAAGTAAAAGGGCACCTGCACATTCAAGACCTTGGCCCCTATGAGCAGGGACACGGCCAGACCGACACGGACTTTTGTGCTCAGGCTGTCCTTGGGCCAGAGGTAGCGCGACATTTCCTTCATGATGGCCCAATCGGCCTTGCGCTGCTCCTGCGTCGACTTGTCGGACGGCGCAAGGGGGTCGGCCGCGGTCTTCTTTGCGAGTTTTGCAACTTCGGGGGCCGTCTTGGTCGGTGGCGGCGGTGCCACGAGAGGGGTCTTTGGCTGCTCACGCAGGACGGCGCCGGTCTGGAAGACGCGACAGGGCGCCGCGGCGCAGGTTCGGGGGAGCCATGGCGAGCGGATATTGCGTCGGTAGATCGGCTGCGATGTCGCCCGGGCGGCGGCGCAGAGGACGCGAGGGATCATGGTCGGCGGAGGTGTGTCGAAGCTCGCATCATGCAGCGGCCGGGCTGCGGTGACGGGCTCGGCGTTGTGTCGGTGTCGGTGTCAGTCTCGGTGACAGCGTCGGCGGTAGACGGCGGGGTAGCTCGGAGGCTAGGGGCAGCTTTCTCGAGGTCGGTTGTACGTTTGGTAAAGATGTCGGAGAAGAATCAGGGTTGCTCGTCTACTTGTGTACAAAGGACAAGAGAGAGAAATGCCAGATCATCAAGGTTGTCGGTTCTAGGGGGACCCGAATGTCACGGACGGTTCACGGTGGGCGTTGTCGAGCTTCGGCGGTCCGATGATGCAATTAGCTAAGCTCAGACCCTGAGGCATTTGCGCCACAATTGGCCAATCACTGGCAGCAACCGCGATAGCCCAATGAGAATGCCTCTTAGCCCTGAATTTTGCCAAATCGTTTCATCAATCAGTAGGCAAGGTGGCCGAGTGGTTAAGGCGATAGACTCGAATGATCTTGGTTCCCCAGGCGATTTCTGCTATCTATTGGGTTCGCCCGCGTAGGTTCAAATCCTGCCCTTGTCGTGTCTCTACACGCAACCCAGCTCAGCTGGGATTTACTTTTTTTGTTTTGCACAGAAGGACCTTTTCTGGGTCGCAAACTCTGCCCGAGCACCATTCTTTTCGTTCTCGACGGACTGAGGTGGCTACGCTCCCGCAGCTCAACACAACAACAGACCCAAGCAGCGATGTAGGGCAGATGCAGGCTCAGCTCGCTCATGTTGCTTGCACAGAACATTCCGCCGATCGATTCTCTTCGCACACAAAGATGCCCTCTCGTCCATAGAAGCCGAGGCAGCTTCCATCTTCCTCAACCATTGCTGACAGCACAGCGAAACTGTCGGAGTTAGCCATGCCCTGATCGCTTCTGATACACATCGCCACCACCATCGGCGATACTACTGTACCATCCCTGCATCAGGCCTGCAGACACAACCGATGATGGGAAGGGCCGCCGAGATGCCCGCCTGCCCGCTCCCCTCCCGGCCACCCGTGCGGGTCGGTAAGCTCTCATCGAAGGGGGCAGACTGAAGCTGTGGAGCGCCCATGCCAGGGTCATGGCTAATATCAGTGCCGTCATTCGGCATGCCAAGTCTCACACACCCTGAAGAAACAGAACACGCTAGACCCCGTTACTGCCCCTCTCCGCTGCAAGCTGCACCGGGGAGAGAGGCCGTCAACGCCTGTGGATACTGAAAGGACCCCGATGCGTCCTCAGTAGTGGTTCGCACGAAAGCAAAGTCCCCTTACCGAGGCGGTTGGTGATCCGCCTAGCTGTGCTTTCTTCCGTCCTTCCGTGCGAGTCCCGAGGCCCCTCTTGGTATCGATGTTCGTATGCAGGTGTGATGTGGTCTTACGCCTGAGCAGGGCGTCACGTCGACTTGGCTGCGTACATTCGTCCGGGGGGCTGCATGAAGATACCTGGGATACACGTGAAGACGCCCACACGTGTTTCCGGTGCAGTTTCCTCTTAATAATGGTTCATCCCAGTGGTGAGGGGCAAGCTCCCTTGTTTCCTGGCCGTCCCTCTCTCCCAAATCTTCCTGCTACGGTTCATCATGCTTTTGGACAAGCTGGTCGAGGTAGTCTCCGTGGCTGGCTGGGCTACCGTGCTCTCGACGCTGTTTGCCGTCTACGTCTCCGGCGTCGTCATCTACAGACTCTACTTCCACCCTCTCGCCAAGTACCCCGGTCCCTTCTGGGCCAAAATCTCTGGCTTCCCGGCGCACTACCACACGCAGAAGCGCAATCGTCACATCTGGTTCCATTCTCTGCAGCAGAAATATGGTATGTAAAAGTCTGATGCTCACGAGCAAGAGCCCATAGACTGACCTGCGCAGGACCTACTTTCCGCTACACACCTGACAGCATCCTCGTCAACACTCCTTCTGGCTACCAGGAAATCTTCAACCCCAAGGCTAACATCGGCAAATCGGTCTATTACGATACGTACGTCCGCAACAGCGTAGCTTTCACTACCTGGAACTCTACAAACAAGGACATTCACGCCCGCAAGCGTCGTGTCTTGACCAACTGCTTCTCGGACAAGGCCATTCGCAATGCCGAGCCGTACATCCACCAGAACCTCGACCGCTGGTGCGGTCTCCTCCAAGATGAAATTGACAAGAACGGTGAATGGTCCGAGTCTCTCAACATGGCCGACTGGTCGAACCACCTCATCTTCGACATCTTGGGCGACCTCTGTTTCGGCAAGTCTTTTGATATGAAGGAGCCGGACAATGAGCTTCGCTTCGTCCCAGAGCTCATGTCCACTTTCCTGTGTGTCATGCACCCGGTAAATACAGCAGGATTCCTCGAATGGACATATTTCTGATCGAATGACAGATTGCCTTCTCTCCCTTCGCACCTCTCTGGGTCTGGCTGAAGCCGAGGGGCCTGGATGCTCTGCTCGCCACCACCGCCCCTCCCGCCCTGGCCAACTGGGGAGGCTTCGTCGCTAAATGCTTCCAAGACCGCGCAGCGCTCGAGGAGGACCTCAAGAAGAACCCCAAGCCTGAGTCGGAGATCCGCAAGGACTTCTTCCACTACCTCTTTGGCGCCATCGACCCCGAGACCGGCAAACCTGGCTACACGCTCTCCGAGCTCTTTGGCGAGACGGAGATGATGCTCGTCGCCGGCAGCGACACGACGTCCATCACCACAGCAGCGGCCATCTTCTACCTCGTCCGCAATCCCGCCGTCCAGACCCGGCTCGCAAAGGAGATCCGCGGCAAGTTCAACAACCCCGAGGACATCAAGTCCGGCCCCCGTCTGCAGAACGACTGCACCTACCTCCAAGCCTTCATCAAGGAAGTCCTTCGCGTCAGCTCCCCCGCGCCAGCCGAGATGGGTCGCGTCGTTCTCAAAGGCGGCGCCGTCATTGAAGGCGACTTCCTCCCCGAGGGTATCAAGGCCAGCACCTCGACCTACTGCATGCACCACAGCCCCAAGTTGTACGACGAGCCCTTTGAGTTCCGCCCGGAGCGCTGGATCGTCGGCGAAAAGGGCAGCACGGTCGAGAGCGTCGCGTGTGCTGAGAGCGGTTACATGCCCTTCTCCACGGGCCCGCGTGGCTGCATTGGAAAGAACCTGGCGTACCTGGAGATGAGTCTTGTCGTCGGCAAGCTTGTGCACGGGTTTGAGCTGAAGCAGGACCCGAAGAGCAACAACCTCGGCGGAGGACGGCCGGACATGGAGGAGGGTCGTCGGGACCCGGAGCAGTTCCAGCTGTTTGAGATTTTTGTGGGCATGCGCGATGGGCCGATAGTACAACTAAAGAGGAGAGCCTAAAGCTGGGTGCTTTTTACGCGGAGGCTCAAGGGACATGCCTAAGATTCATGTTTTCGGGGTTCGCTCACCTGGATATGCGGGCAGCATGCACGAATGCTTCAACGTTGGAAACTCCGCGGATTAGAAGAAACCGGGACAGACCCTGTACGCGGAACATACCGAGGCACCGAGGCACCGGCGGCGGAGCGACATTAGATCGCCATCTTTAGCTGACAAAAAGTCCGCTTTAAGAGCCCACTCCGCTCCGATTCCATGAGTGCCGATGTGATGCTGCGGAGTGCCGGGGCTGTGGAGATGCCGACTCGGGTGCTAGTATGTCAATCATAAAGACGGAGTCGTTTCCAGCGGTCGAGATACAGAGATTCGAACCGCAGCACACTCTCTTCCAAAAACTTACACCACATTCATCATGGCCCTCTCCTCCACTCTCGTCGCAGCAGCGACTGCATACTTCGACGCCCTGTCAACTTTCGACGCGGAAAAAATCTCCTCGACTTTCTCCCCCGAGTACCAGCACACTCTAGCCCCAACCAACTTCTTCGCCAGTCTCGGTATCAAGGGTCCTCTGCCCGGCAACGCCTTGTTGCAAGGAGCGGCTGGTCAGAAAGCTCTCTTCTCCGACATCGCTTTCAAGATCAAGGAGTCCTGGCCGAATGAGGCGACCAATGTCGTCACCGCGTGGGTTGTGGCCCAGGGAACACTCCGCGATGAGTTTGTTGATGCCGAGATTGGCACCACTAAGGACTACTACCGCGAGTACGTTTTCATCCTGACGGTGGGTGAAGACGGCAAGATTGAAAACGTCTTGGAGTTTGTCGACACCCTGTCGATCAAGAGTCATGGGGCTGCTCAGGCGAAGGCCGCCAGCCGTATTTAGGGGGTGGCATGAGGGAATGATTGGACTGGGGTGTGGGTGAATAATGGATTTATAATGGTTTCGGTGTGACTTCCTTTGAGGTCTGACAGAGGTCGCATAGGGCAGGAAAGGATTCAGAGGAACTCGGGCTTGTCATGACACCTTTTCAATATCACAGAGCGTTTCTTATGAGATGGGTGCGACTTGATTTTACTACGACCTTACGCTCAGCGAAAGCGAGACCGATGAAATGTCAGGCGCGACATATTCCCTGTTTTGTGAATAACATCTCGGAAGCTGCCGTGGAAAGAAATAGATCGTACGCGCATCACACTGACAAATCCCAGGCCAAGAGCATCGGGGAGTGCGCCGACAGCCCATTCGCCGAGCAAGTCGGGTCAGCATAAAAGGACAACCGTTGCCCCTAAATGCTGACGCGGGGTTGAACCACCTTTCAAATCTCACTCTTGAACATTCATTTCATTTCATCGCAATGGCAGAACCAATTCGCCTCATCGTCTGCGGCGCCAGAGAATCCATCGGCGCCGGTGTCATCGCCGGTCTCAAGCCCGAGTACGAGGGTACGTCGTGACATTGCCCCAAAGCACCCTTCAACTCCAAAAGCTAACTCGTCCCAGTCGTCCAATTCATCCTCACACCCGAGGCCGCCATCTCTGAGATTCCCCTCATCGCTCGGGGCCAGAAGCCCGCCACCAGCAGCAGCAGTATCGGCACGGGAAACATCTCTGAGGACCGCCGCCCGGTAGCCGTCATCACGGGAGGTGCCTACTCGGAGGGATTCGATGAGCTCCGCGCCAAGGTTGAGGGACAGTTTGACGGCCCCGAGGGTTCGGGGCTCGTGTGGCTGAAACATGATGGAAGCAAGCCCGCACCCGTTCCTGGAACGCCTGAGTACGGCAAGGTCATTATTGACAGGACGAGGGAGGCGCTTGGGTCAGTCGAGAAGAAGGGCGTGCTTGGATCTGGAAAGAGTGAGGTGCATCTGTATTAGAAGGCAGAGGAGAAGATCATCTAATGATACTTCCCGCGGACGGGCCGACATGACCACCTCAGAGACGCGTACTTGCTTCGTCAACCTGTATACACCAGCACCTTCTCCCTCCCAGGACTCGATCTCAAAACACTAACAATCGCACGACGTCCGATCGTTCGGCACCGCCGGATACCAATCCTGCCCATACGTCGCATTCAGCGTCACCGCACCCACAGCCCTCCCATCCTCCAGGAGATTCCACGTATCAACCTCAAACTTCTCCAGATTCTCCCGCGTAATGCTGATCTGCCTCGCCCCGCGTATCCAGCTACTATACCCTCCGTATCCCGTGTGCTGACCAAAGCAGAGATTTACCCCGTTCCC